TCGCCCTTAGGAGCCGCCCGGTGGAAGCTCCTGCGGCAGGTAAGGCAGAGCCCACCCGCCTCACCTTTGCACGGTGCCCCTCCCCTCGCTCGGTGGGGCGTGCGATCGGCAGGTATGCTCCCCTCACAGTTTCGTCGGGAGCCACCCAGAGGTGTCTCCTTGCTTCCCCTCAGGGTCCCATCAGAAGAGGGGAGCCAGGTGGGGTTGCGCGGGAAGGGGCAGCCCACGTCCGAGTTCCTGGGAAACTCCGAGCGAAGTAGACAACCTCTTTCTAGACATTTGCTTGCACCTGCCAGCTCGCGGGTCGGATGGGCGGGACCGCTCCCCTCTGCCCCCATCGCTTCTTTCCTGCTTCTGTTTTAGTTCCTGTCCCAGGTTTCTTCTCGCTGCTGATCTCCCAGCCTGGTTCTAGCTCCTTGTCTTGGGGACCAGCGTGGTTGCCTCTGTTGGGACTTGGACGTTGCACGCGTTGCCGCGGTTTCCTCCGCGACCGCGGGGCGTGGAGGGAGCCGCGCGAGCCGCCTCCCGCCCTTCTCCTTTTGGGGATGTGAAAGTTACGGGCGCATCTGGTAGTGCGAGGTGATGGGCGAGGTTCTTTCTGGCCGTCCCAGGTGGAGTAGTTTGCTTCCTGGCGGTTATCTTCTCGTACCTCAAAGTTGCTGCTATTGGCTCCTAACTGCAGGCTTGTCAGAGTTCCGATGTGACATCAGGGACTCTCTGCAAACTGCCTGAAGTGACGTCTGTTTGTCCTTGTGCCTCTGCCCGAGGCTGCCCGCTGAAAACTGGACTCAGGGGACACTTTCCATTTCTGACGTCTTTCCAGAAGAGCTTCCCAGCTCTTGTTTCCTGGAGATTGTGCAGTTAGGATTTGGGGGTTTATTTTGTTTGCACTTACTTGGTTTGCAGAGTCACCTTTGCATATGGTGGCCTTCCAGTGCTGTCATGGCATAACTCAAAGTATTTCTTTGTTGATGCACTGGAAGTCTTCCCAGAGCTGGTTTTGCTAATAATGTTACAAATCTATATTCTATATGATAAAAGCCTAAGCAACCATAGGACAGAATGACCAGAACGACTGGTCGCTATGACATGCACTGACCACCAGGGGCAGACGCTCAACGCAGGAGCTACCCCAGTGATGGCGAACCTTTTGAGCTCGGTGTGTCAGCATTTTGAAAAACCCTAACTTAACTCTGGTGCCGTGTCACATATAGAAATTTTTTGATATTTGCAACCATAGTAAAACAAAGACTTATATTTTTGGTATTTATTTTATATATTTAAGTGCCATTTAACAAAGAAAAATCAACCAAAAAATGATTTTGCGTGTCCCCTGTGACACGCGTGTCATAGGTTCGCCATCACTGAGGTACCCCCTGGTGGTCAGTGTGCTCCCACAGGGGGAGCACCACTCAGCCAGAATGGGGCTCACAGCAGGCGAGTGCAGTGCTGGTGGCGGGAGCGTCAAGCAGCCAGCCGAGTAGCAAGGAGCAGCGAGAAGATAGGCAGTAAGGAGGGAGCAGGCTGGGCTTGGGCTGAGGGACACTGCCCTTCCCCCCCCTCCCCCCCCAGTGCATGTATTTCATGCCCTGGGCCTCTAGTAGGATAATAAAGTGAATGTCCTTCATACATCATTATCATAGGAACTTTCTATAGTGAAGTAAACATCAGTTAAAGTCTAATTATGAAAGTAGTAAATTAGGGCTTAAGTTAATCTTATTGTGATGACTTCAGTGATTCTTAGCATAGGAAAAACTCTAGCTGACCAGCACTGATGTTCATTCTGAATTGCTGTCTACATGAGACTAGTTTCAGCTATGACTGCCACTTGAACTCCCCACAGGCTTTGACATTTAATGTTTCAGTACACATCTGCCCTCTGCATAAGGTCTTTATCATCTTCTCTACTTGATAAATGAATGTTTATCCTTCAGGCCTCCATTTCAATCTCCTCTTTTAGTGAAGACTCACTCCTCTGGACTGAGTTAGACCCTTAGTTCACTCTTCTGGTGAACCCCATATCACATTATTTTATGATTATTTGATCAGAGTCCATCTTTCTCACTAGAATGGGAGTTTTCTCTGGGAAAAGATATTTTATGAATCTCCATCCTCTGCACCTAGCACAGGGCCTGGCTAGTTGGTTTTTAGTAGATATTGTCAATTATTGTGGAAAACCTTAAAGACAGTCTTTAAGTGGTCCATAGCACCTAGTCCTCAGTGTTTTGCATCAGCTAGCTATTGCTGAGTAACAAACAGCTACAACATTACAGTGGCACACAACAACAAGCATTTGTTCTGCTTGTGCATTTGTAGGCCACTTGGGAGTTATCTGACATGGGCTGTAATCAGCTGAGTGGCTCTGTGCTATATTCTTGGTCCACATGGTTCTAATCCTTGGACCAGTTGGTATAAGAGAGTAAGCCTAACCACTGAACCACATTTTAAGCTCCTGCTAACAACCTGTTGACTAAAATAAGATACTTGGCTAAGCCTAAGGTCAAGGGGCAGAGAAATATGCTCTTTCTTGGAGGGGGCAAGAGAGGAAAATTCAGATTTGATGTTTTTTTGTTTGGTTGGTTGGTCAAGATGATGGTGTTGTATACTTTCTCTCACAGTTATTATCAGTAATCACAGTGATATCTGGTTATTTCTCTTTTTCGATGATGGTTACCTAGGTTCATGAATTCAGGAAAGGGTTGAAAATGGTGATATTCTAATTCTGTTATTCCTTCTTCATTTATTACTTGGAAAACTACTATAAAGAGAAACTTCCGCCCTAACCGGTTTGGCTCAGTGGGTAGAGCGTCGGCCTGCGGACTCAAGGGTCCCTGCTTCCATTCCAGTCAAGGGCATGTACCTTGGTTGCAGGCAACATCCCCAGTGGGGGGTGTGCAGGAGGCAGCTGATTGATGTTTCTAACTCTCTATCCCTCTCCCTTCCTCTCTGTGAAAAAATCAATAAAATATATTAAAAAAAAAAAAAAGAGAGAAACTTCCCCAGATCTTCTACTTGGACTCTCAATTACAGTTCATATAGGAAAGACAGAGAAGTACTTGATTTTTTTTTTTTTTAATCCTCACCTGAGGATGTTTTTCCATTGATTTTTAGAGAGAGTGGAAGAGAGAGGGAGAGACAGAGAGAAATATCAATGTGAGAGAAACACATCGATTGATTGCCTCCTGCATGCATCCCAACCAGAACTCGGGCTGGGGAGGAACCTGCAACCTAGGTACGTGCCCTTGACCAGAATCGAACCCGGGAGGGACCCTTTGGTCGCAGTCCGATGTTCTATCCACTGAGCCAAACCGGCTAGGGCAGGGGTGGGCAACCTTTTTGTGAGTGCGTGCCAAAACCAGCAAAATCTCTGACTCAAAATTCTTCTGCGTGCCAACCCTAATTTTTTGAGAACATGTTACGCCTACTTGATATCTCTTAAGGTGTACGTATGTGAAGAACCTTGAAGAAATAATAAAATTCATTCGAGCGACAAAAACACAGTATATGATGATGAAAAATACATTTATTTTTTAATGTATACATGTACACTGATAGTCCGACAGAAAACTTTATGACTCCGTTTGATATTATCAGTGGGACTTCTGCTGCTGCATCACTGATGACAGAGATTTTACATCAGGTTTCTATTTCGTGACCTTCAGAGATGTGCACGAGCGAAGATTATAAGAGAGGTTTTCACGTGCCAGCAAAAGTTACTGGCGTGCCATGTTTGGCACACGTGCCAGGGGTTGCCCACCCCTGGGCTAGGGCCTCTTTCTTTGTAGTATTGATTTTCAATACTAACTTGGTTCTCTAGCATCCTTCCATAATCATTAGTGAGGCATTTGAAAAATATCATGCACTAATGTGTTTCAATTCTATTACATCTATTATCTTTGCTATTACTCACCATTTCCCATCTTTGGCCAATGGACCCTATTCAAATTGGCTCTTGAATACTTTTAATATAACCCTTAATTTTGTATGGCCTTCTTGTTTTCTTGTGTAGGATGTTTCAGGTTCATCTTGTACAGGGTGTGGCAAAAGTAGGTTTATAGCTGTGAGTATACGAAACAGTTTATTTTGGTGTTATTTATTAATTATTATATTGTTTTCCATACGAACAACTGTAAGCCTACTTTTGCCCCAACCTGTACAGTTCCTGCCATTTTATAACTAAACACAGTGGATGTGGTTGTTGTTAGTAATTTTATTTGCTTGCAGATAAAGGATTCACATTCAAAGCTCTGTCACCCTGAAGAGAGGCTTAGCTATTGCTTATGTACGTGATCTGGTTATGTACACTGAACTTATGTTTATATAATATGATCACAATATTTGGTTTTATTTCAAAGGTTCTGAAGCAAAAGCACCTGGATGGTTGTCTACGACATGTATCTGTAAGAAGATTTGAATCATTTAATCTGTTTTCAGTAACAGAAGCCAAAGAAAGGGAAACTGAAGAGGAATTTGGTGCATGGGTCCAATATACAAGTGTCTTCTACCCTGAATACAGTATTTCCTTAAGGTAAACATCACTCTAGTTAAGATTTTGTTCAAAAAAGCCTTTTTTCAAATA